GCGTACGCGCTGAACCAAACAGCCCAGCAAGGAGCGACGACGCCAACAACGAAGTAGCCCCACACGGCCCGACCCGTGTGGTACTTCTTCTTGGCCGTCTCAGCCGTCGAGAACGGGAATGTCTGGGGTTCAACCAAAGAAGGGAAACCACCCCAAGCACGCCGTGGATGAGAACGGGGTCCTGGCGGGGCGCGACACAACGGTGCGAGGAGGAGGAGGAGAGAGAGAGTCTACTGTGCCAATGCCCTGTCCGAGCAAGCGGCCGTCGGGTCCGTGAGTGGGTCCGTGGCCACGCACGAATAGAGTCCGCACGCCTGTCCCATGACAGGCATCACCCGCTAGCGTGAGCAGCGAACACAAACTTGGGCGGTGTGGCCAAGGTCGAACCAGAGAGTGGGGTCCTGCGCAGGAAGTTCATCGACGACGGTAGAGAGATGGAGGAGTGGCACAAGGTAGAGGGGTACAAGGTGGTGGCGGCCAAACGAAGGCGAAGTGTGCCTGTCGAACCGCGCAGAGAGCAATTCCCAACGTTGCGGTGGGCACCCATTGGTCGAGGCGGTAGAGATGTGACCCTAAAAAAGTCGAAGTCCCCACGAAAACCCCGCAACCAACCCCAAAGGGGGGGCGTGGCGACTTGGAAAAGCTCATAAGAGCTCTCCATTTGAAAGAAGAACAGCCCACACAGGTGGGGGGGGAGGGGATCTTATCTGGTGGATGCAGCTTAGAGCTCGTCCTTCTTTTCGGGGGTGGTGGTGGCGGTCTTGGCGTTGCGATAGAAGGTGAGGAAAGCCTCCACTGTGCGCGCTCCGCTGTAGTCCTTCGGCTGCCCGTTCTGCAACCTGGTGGTGGGGGTGGTGGTGGTGGGGGTGGTGTTGGTGGCGAAGAAAGTAGAGGAAGGCGGTGTGAGCAAGGCGTCCTCCACACCCGGAAGTGGAATGGGGTGGCAATAATCATGCAAGCAGCAATATGTGGGGGGGGGGGTAGTACAGCTTGATGGTGGGGTAGCCCCGCACGGCGAAACGGCTGCACACAGCTGTGTGTCGTGTGTCACACACAGAGCAAGAACCAACGTGCGCACGTCGTTCCATGAATGTCAGCGCCAGATTTTGCGGTCTCGGGAGGGGGGGGGTTGAGATCGGGGGGAGGCGCACGGTTGTTGGTGGTGCAGTCGACCTTGCCGACGTGGAGGGACTCGTCGGCCTCGCTGGCGAGCTGGTCCCAGACGGGCGCCAGGCGCTTGCAGTGGCCGCACCACGGGGCATAGCTGCAAACCAAAGAAGAAAAATGGAATGAATGCCGGTCAACGCGTTGCCCTCCCGGCTGGCGAGTTGCGGGAAGGGAAGAGGGGGGAAATGAGTACAATTCCACGAGCCAGTCGCCAGACTGGGTCAGCTCGTCGAAGTTGTCGGTGGTGAGAATGACCGCGGCCTTCTTAGCCGCGTCGCCCGACTCTTCCACGGAGGCCTCGGCGGCGGCAGTAGGGGCCGGAGTGGCCGGGGCGGCTGCCAACCAGCGGAAGAACGAACGTTTCACTGTGAGCTTGCTGCTGCACCACCACCAGCCAGCCAGACCACCACCGGGAGGAGGAGGAGGAGAGGGCGGGGGACAGGGCACCGGCAGGGAGCTCCTTGGCCTCGACCTTGGCGTAGGCACCCTCGGCGAAGGCGGTGAAGTCTTCGACGGTGCGGCGAAGGTTGTAGTCATACAGCTTGCCATCGCGAATGCTACACACGACACACGACACATCAGTGGCCCGCTACGGCCCGTGTAGGGTCACGCGAGAGACGCACAGCTTGATGGTGGGGAAACCGCGGATGCCGAAGCGCTTGGACAGGCCTGTTGGCACACCCAACGCCCTCTCTCTGGTTAATTCGAGCGCGCCGCGGGGGGGAGGGAGTGACAGGCGCTGGGACGTACCCTGCTCTGCGCTGCCGTCGACCATGGCGACGTTGAACTTGCCCTTGCTCGCCGTGGCCAACTGGGCCCACGTGGGCTGCGGAACGGAAGCGGAAGGTAAACGGTGAGCTACGGACTACTACTTACCACTACTCGGGTGATGAGCACCTCCCCCCCCCAAGCCACACCACCAACACAACACCACTCACGCTGGAGGACCGGTGTCTACCTTGAGCGTCTTGCAGTGGCCGCACCACGGCGCATAGCTGTATATGGGTTAATAGCAACACAACACAATGCGCAAGTCAAAGTTGGGCGGAGGAGCGCATACAACTCGATCATCCAGGTGCCTTCGGCCGTTTGGGCGTCGAAGTTTTGGGCGTTGAGCACGACAACATCGGAGTCATCGACGTCGGTAGCACCCGCGAGGAGGAACACCGCGAAGAAGGCGAGGAGGCAAAGCGAACTTTTCATCGTGGTGTGCGTGGCCGTACTTGATGCGATCTACGAGATGAAGCGGCTTTGGCGCGCAAAACCAGGAAAAATGGGTAAGAGGAAATGGGAAAGGAAAACCAAGAAAAAAATCGCAGTCGATCAGAGAAGTAGAAATGATGAGGAGAGGAACAGCCGTGCTTGGGTCGTGCGTGCGTCCCTCCACCACCGGTGCCTATGCGGCGGCGGCGGGATGGAGGCGTACAATTGCTGGTTCTACTTCGACTTCCGCCACCTCCGAGACTGTCGTGCCGCTGGGCAGCCTGCGCTACCCGCCTCCGCACTCCGAGGAGGCCGTGACAGGGGCTGGTCCCACCGGGTACAAGCCCCCTCTCGGCAACACGGATGCCCTCCCCTTCCGCGTGCTCCGTACCAAGTCCGGTCGATTGCCCATCTACACCGACTACAAAAATGGACGCACCAAGAAGATCACCATCCTCCGCAAATTCAGCGGCGACCGAAAGGTAAACAGCGCCCCCTTCTCCGCACATACACCGGCGCACGGGGTGAAGCACTGTCAGAGCCAGTCCCCCCCCGCTAGAGGCCGTTCTGTTTGTGCGGCAGCAGGGGAGCTGCTGCTTCTTCTGCTCGTGGTGGTGCTGTTGGTGCTGACTGGTGGTGGTTGGTGTGGTGGACGTGCGCGGTGGTGTCGGTGGCGGTTGCGTAGGAGCTGCGCGAGGAGGTGTGGCGAGTGCTGGGTGGGCCGAAGAACCCCGGCCTGGAGGTCGTGGAGCGGGCGGGTTCGCTCGAGATCAAGGGCGACTACACGTGGCAGCTCCAGATGTGGCTCAAGCGACTGGGCTTCTGAGAACCGACCGCCGTCCAACACGCATTCTCCTTCATCGGTCGCGACGGGTGTACGAACGCCGGAGGCGGAAGGCGAAGAGAAGAAGAGGTGGCCCCCTATTTATACCGCCCTTTGATTTTTAGGTCTATTCACACGCCGCCCATCGCGACTCTTGAAGCCGCCGTGGTGGTGATTATTGGTGGTGCTCGCGGGATCGCGAAGGAGGGCCTCCTGCGAGGGGGCTGCACCACACGGGCATGGCCGTGCCCAGGTCTCCGAGGAGTCGCGCCGACCGCAGGCGGGCCAGCAGCAGCTCCCCCGCCTCGCGCGTCAGGTTGGGGCGCCCCTGCACCCCCCCCCCACAAATGCAACACGGTTTAGATCGGGCGGCGCCATCCAAAAAAGGAGAGACCAGGCAGGAGAGAAGAACAGAAAGAAGAGAGAGTACCGGGACGTGGGATGCGCCGGCAGCTTCACGCGGCTGGGCGTGCTGCTGTTGGAGGGCTTTCTCTGCGAGTGAGGGACACAGGGCCAGCAGGCGATCCCCGACCGACACGATGAGAGTCGAGCCTCCTCGCTCTGGCGGCCCGTCAAGGCCGGCTACGCCCACCAGGCGCACATCGGGCGAGCTGCCTGCGCGCCCAATGTAAGGGCCGCACGCGATGTGTGCGCGACACGGGTGAGAGGGGCGGGGCGGGGGTGGCTGCTGGTTCCCACGTACGAACGTACCCGAGGGCGACCGTGCCATTCGCTGCGTGGCCGCAAGTTGTGTGGCGGCGATGCGCTGGGAGAGATCCTCCACGCCCACCGTCACCCGCAGCTCCCTGCCGGGGCCGCTGTTGCTGCTGCGCTCCGTCTTGAGGGCCTTGGCTGCTCGTCGGCTCGCCTCTCCGTCATTGCCCACCCGCTACCGGAGGAGGAACACGGGCCACATGGGAGATTAGAGACATGGGTGTGCTCTCGCGGCAATTGCGGGAAAGGGGAGGCAAGGCGGGTACTCGTATGTCGCCGCAAGGCTCGTCCTCCGCCTCATTCTCGTCATCGTCGTGGTGGTGATGGTGGTTATCGTGGGGAAGTCGGTCGAGTTTGCGCTTGGCCGTGGCGGCTGGAGGGAGCTGGGCCGCACGCACGGGGTCGATGGAGGCGAGGAACGACGTGTAGGGACTGAGGTCCGCGCCACCGGGCGGAAGCGCGCCCCCCGTGTCGAGCGACGCAACGCGAGTGGGCGCCGGGGCGACGCGCGGGTACGAAGAAGCAGCAGCAGCAGCAGTAGCAGCCGGCTGTGCGGCCACGACTGGTGAACGGAAGCGGGGCGAAACGAGAGGGGTCGAATGCCCGCCGCCGAATTCCGGCTGCCGGCTGGGAGCACCACCTCCACTAGCTCCAGCGCCAGCTCCTCTTCCACCACCGCGGCCGCCGTAGACTTGAGTGTGGGCCTCCTCTCCTTCTTCCTCTTCCTCTTCTTCTCCTCCTCCTCCCTGATGATATTCGGCTTCGTGTTCCCGTTCGTGGGCCTGCGCCGCAGGAGCATACTGAATGCCAGGTGTGGAGTTGGCTGGTGGGTGGCCGTAGGTCTGCGTTGGCGGCTCGGTGTCGTCGTCGATGCCGCCCTCTCTGTGTTCCACCAGGGAGCTGGGTTCGTCGGGCTCTCCGTCATCGGTGGTCGTGTCGAGTCCGGCTGCGGCGGGATGGTCGGTGAATCGGGGAGCACCAGCCAGCTGCGCGAGCGAGACCTGTGTGGTGGCGCGAGTGGTGGGGTTCACCAGGGTGACCTTGACCTTGGTCGGGGATGCGGCGTAGGAGGCAAAGGCTTCCGATGCGGCAAAGCCGGGTGCACCCTGCGCCGGGTAGAGACGAAGCAGGACCGTGCGGAGCTGCTCGAGGATGGGATCGATGGCGTGGAGCATGATTTGCCGCTTGTCCGGCGAGCAATTAACATCGTATCTGGTCACGCAAATGCGGTGAGTGAGTGTTCCATCCGCGTGGGAATGGCGCTAGAATTGGAGAAGAAGAGACGTCGTACTTGCTGGGGGCCATATTGAGGTGCAGCACGATAAAAGCAAATCGTCGCTGGACTCTGCGATCCCCATTCTCACCAAAGAAGTGTTGCCGCATGCTCCTGTCCCACGACACACGCACACGCACACGCACGCACACACACAGAGATGAGGAGCTCTTCATTTAACCACCGAAAGTGAAGCGAGGAGCCTGGCCCACAACGTACTTGTTGACCAGACGCGCGATCTGTGGCACGTCTACTGGGCGATGGTTGACGAAACTGGATCGGGACGAGCGCGGGAGAGAAGTTTAGGCTGGCGTGTGCTCTGGAGGTGTGAGCCACAGAGATAGATGGGTACAGATAGGTACATGAAGCAGCGATCGTTGCTCGGTCGCGTTGATAGGTCAACCAGGGAATTGCCACGCGGAAGGAAGCCCTCGAATGAAGCCACACCGTCCACTTCCCCACGCACCTGGGCGGCAAAAAAATAGACCCAACAGTCGTACCGTGGATGTGGGGGCGGGAGGGAGCACAAACACAAGGCACACAGGGGAGGGAGAAAGTACCTCCTCGAGCTGGGCAAACACCTTGTCGGTGCACAGGAATTTGATTGCGGCCTGCAGAGACAGAGAACGGGTGAGAAGAAGAGACGCATCGCGAATTCACCGGGGGGGGGCAAACAAAGGCGCCGAGAAGAATCCCGTACAGCGGTTGAGGGGAGCGGGGGCTTGACAAAATCGACCTGCGGCAGAGCTCGCAACGTAAAGTGTACGTCCGGACGCACGATCGCGTAGGCCCACATCGTTTGGGTCAACCTAAGGACAGGCGAACCGTGAGCTGGTTGAAAACTGTACAGCCAACCATAACGTGGCGTCGGCGCATCAAACATCACTGATGTGGCGCACCTGCGCATTTCTTCTTTGGACCTATTCCTGGCCACCTGGAGTCGCACGGGAGTGTTCCTGAACAGCTGGTTGAGGACAAGCCGAATGGGGTGAGTGCATCTCGCGACTGCATGCACGTGCAGCCATGCTTGCCATAGGCCAGGCTGCGTTAAGGGAACGGGTACCTACCTCCTTCACGATCACAGCAGTGCCCGTTGACTCCATTGCCGTGGGCTTGGCGCTGATCAGGAGGAGGAGGGGGAGTGGAGTAAGTGGGTGAATCCGCCTCGATTGACGCAGCGAACGGGCAACACGCACCTCAGCGCCAAGCCCTTGTGGTCGAAGGTGGTGACGAGCCCTGAGTCGTCGCTCGCCGTCCGCGTCATAATGCTCAGTTCACCGCAATTGTTGCAGATCGAGTGCAGCGCCTCCCCTCTGCCCCCAATGCCCCACCCGCACCTTGAGCCATTTTGCTTCTCGCACAGGCGCAGTGGCGGCGCGCCACCGTACCGTACGTACCTGAAGCCATAGGACTGGAGGGTCTCCAGCGCAGCAAAATCCTGGAGCCTTGAAGTGTAATAGGGCGCTACTGCAAGCGCGACCTCCGCCCGCGGTATCCCGACCCCATTGTCCCGCACCTGCCTCCCCCCTTCCATTTAGCACGAAACGTTTACCTCCGCCACCACCGTTGCGGATCCGCGCACCTCTACAGATTTGAGCCCTCCACCTTCCAGTCGAACGTCTATTCGTGTGGCTCCTGCAGCCCAGCACATTTTTACTCTGGGGAACACAATGCAAGCAGGCCCACCACAATCGAGTAGGGGCAGCCGTACCAGCATCCAGAGCATTTTCTATGAGCTCTTTGACTGCTGAATGTACATCCACAACCACCGTATCCGTGCGCAGACGGCGAATGGTACTCGAGGGCAGCTTCTTCATGTCATGTACTTGCAATTAATCACACAAACGAATCACATCCTCCTTTCATCTTTTCGTAATTCCGGGAATACTGCGTGAAACTGAAATATCAAGAAAATGGAAAGAAAACAAGGCCAAAACAATTTTGGCGCCAAGAGAAGATGAGTGGTGCCGTAGGAGGGGCAGGAGTCTCTGGCATGGATATCGCACAGCTGCACACGGACGCGCACGCACAGCGCCTTGCTCTTCTCGCCGCCTCGCGTGCGCAGTTGGAGGCCGGATTACCCTCGTCGGCCGTCTTCTTTGCGGAGGCCTTGCTTGCTCTCTCCGCTGGTGCTCCGCCTTTCTTCTTCCTGCACAAACACCATCATGGGGTTGAGGGGGGGAGGGGTTTTAACGCGTGTAACAACGGGTGGCGTGTAGAGGAGGGGGAGAAGCGGGAGGCGGTGTATGAGCTGGGGCGGGCGCTGGTCCGCAGTGGGCAGGCCCGGCGAGCAGCACACCTCCTCCGCAAACACAACGCCCACCTGCACGACGCCCGCTCTCTACTGCTCGCCGCCACCGCTTTGCTGGAGGTCAAGGTACGGGCCACACCCGATTCGCCCTCCGGGGACCCCCGGTGCTTTCCACATGGTTCATTCAACCGACGGACCACAACGACCACAACCTCACCTGGGGAGGTATGCGGTTGCGCGAGCAGGACTTGGCGGCAGGGCTGGAGTTGTTGCCGGAGGGATTCGAGGCGCCACAGCACGGACTCAACGCGGGGCTGCACGGGGCGCTGCACCTCGCGCGAGGCAAGCTCCTCGACGCCGCTGATCAGCCCGCGCTGGCTGCCACAGCCTACCAGCGAGCTCTGCTGCAGGTGTGGTCTCCCTCTCATATATCCCGCGGCACTCTCGGCACGTGCACAACCAGCTGGGCTGTCCCCTCCCTGACTGACTGACTGACGCCTCTTCTTGTAGGACCCGCTTTGCTCCGAGGCCCTGGAGAAGCTCGCCGACCGCCATCTCCTGCCTCCGGACCAACGTACGGCGCTTGTCCCTCCTCGTGCTGTCACTCACACCGCGAACTGTTTATGTTTAGTACTCGCCGCAGCCGCGCTAATCAGGGCGGTGGCTTGTGGTGAACGGCGCAGTGCGAGCGCTCTTTTATCAGGTCTGTGAGGCACTACCACAGGAGCTTTCATCCGTCCGAGCCCTCTATGCTACGAAGCTGCGTGTCGACGATGTACGCCTCTCTGCCGGCGTGGTTAGGCCACAGTTGGGAGGGCGCTAGGCACAGTGGTGACCACCTGCCACCAGGTAGCCATACTTACATACACGCGCCTCGACTTCTTGACTCCCTCTACAGAGCGAGGAACAGGCAGGAAAAGAGGAGCCACGGCCGGCCCGACCTCGGGCTGACGCCAACTTGGCTCGTGTGGCGGCCGACGCAGAGGTAGGAGGTGTTGACACGGTGCTCTTATTATTATTAGCACCGCACGTGTGGTGCGTGCAATTTGGCATCGCGGCGCCCTGACATGCCGAGCCTCTCTTTGCGCACCACTAGTGCTTCTTCTACCAGGGCCGGCTGCAGGAGTGTCACCGCCTCACGAAGCACATCCTCGACGAAGACCCGTACCGCGAAGGGTCTCTCCTGTGGCTCTACGCGTCGGTGCTGGTCGAGTTAGGTTGGCGCTCCCCGCCTTCACGTCGTGTCTGGCGGTGAGGGCAATCACGCGGCTCACTAACCCGACCACATAGGTAAGAAGCGGGAACTGTTCGCCTGGGCGCACGCCGTGGCGCAGCGGCACACGGGCAAGGCGGAGGCCTGGTACGCGGTCGGCTGCTACTATCTCGTCACCGGCAAACTGGAGTCGGCCCGCACCTACCTCAGCAAGGCCACCACCCTCGCTCTTCCTGCCGAGGCCGGCCCTGCCTGGTACCCTCCACCACCACGACGCGTCTTCCTGCTCCCTCGCGTGATGGTTGATGGTCCTGCCACGGCTTTCTCTCTCTCTCGCATCATCCGGTGAATCGCGTGGTGCTCTGCCAGGCTGGCGTTTGGGCGTGCCTTTTCCGAGCAGGGGGAGCAGGACCAGGCCATGGCGGCCTATCGCACGGCGCACCGCTGCCTGCCTTCCTCGTACATCCCGCTCCTCTGCATCGGCACCGAGCTCATCCGCGCTCACAACTTCAACCTCGCCCGGCAGTACCTCCGGCAGGTACCTTACCTCCCTCCCTCCAGCAAAGTGCCCGCGTGGCTGACCCCCGGTGCTTCGCGTGATGTAAACATGCGCGGTTTGGCTCTGGCTTTGGCTTGCGTTGGGCAGGCGCGTGGGCTGAGCGGGGAGGATGCGCTGGTGTGGAACGAGCTGGGCGTGGTGGCCTACCACAACAAGCAGTACAGCAAGGCAGCCACGCAGTTGGAGCGTGCGGTGGCGCTGTGGCAGCACACGGGCGGGGACGTGTCGTCCGGCTGGGAGGAGGCCATGATGGCCAACCTGGGCCACGCCTACCGCAAGCTGGGCCGGTACCCCGACGCGGTCGCCTGCTTCGAGCAGGCCCTCTCCCTCCACGATTCTCCTGAAACGCACGCGGCGCTCGCCTTCACACACCACCTGCGGGGCCACCTGGACACGGCCATCCAGCACTACCACACCGCCCTCTCCTTTCTCCCCAACCACGCCTTTGCCACCCACATGCTCTCCGCCGCCCTCTCCGCTGCTCCGCTCCCCTGACTAACCATTGGTCATTCTCTCTATCTTGCCCTGGTGTGATTATGCCATTGCTGAAGCACAACTCTATCAAAGAGAAGGGACATGTCTAGACAAAGAAGTATACAGCCATTCCAGTCATATTTTAATTCCATTCTATAGAAATTTTGAGATGGGTCAGAGTGAGCACTTGTCATGGAGGTTCAAAAGGTTCATCAAGAGGTTTGCCCAGTCAGCCCAATGTGCCATACATGGGGTGCTGTGATAAACCTCAGGTGCTGTGTGCAATACACAACACCAACAAATCACTTCCTTCTTTTTCCCCTCCTGAGTGGCTCAGGATCAGGCAGTTCTTTGGTGCAGGTTGGGCTAAGGTGACTGGAGTCTTCATCCAGATCAGGCCAGTCTTTCCACATGCTAGGAGGCAGAGGAATGGTAGCCTTTGTGAACATCTGCACATCATCTTCATGGCAGGAGAAGCAGAAGACATGAGGCCTGGAGGTTCCCTGAACACCACAGATTTTGGGATCCATCCAGGATTTGATTGACAAAGGTTGAGAATATCTGGTTGATAGCCTCATGGGTGTGTCCCACAGGCAGGAAGGATATGGTGATTGATTGAAACACCTTGTTGAACACCAGCCAGTGGCAGTAGGCCAGCATGTACTTGTTCTTGTTCTCCCAGCTGCAGTTGTAGAACTGTAGGTAGATGAAAAGACATGAATACTGCAAGTGGCAATCATTGTGCATGATGCAGCTGCAGTTCACAAGGATGAGTGGGAGGACTTCTTCCAGCACTGCAACACCCTGCGCACCAACAAGTTCTGGACCACTACATGAGGTGAGCAAGCCATCAACTGGAAGAAGCTCATCAGCTCAATGGTACATTTCATCATGTACATGTACATGACAGAAAATTACATACTTCCAAACACTTACTAACTCCACTATTTCATGCAGCCAGAGCCTCAGAAGCTCAATGAGGCAGAACAGAGGAAGTTATGAGAAAATCTGTGCAACTATACAGGCATCATGAAGAAGTTCCTCAATGTTGATGGTTGGCCATGAGTGCTGCCTACCTTGAGAATTTGCCTGCCCGGATCTGCTTGTGCTGTTCAGTTGAGATGTGTTTGAGGATGTGAAGCAGAATCCCAAGGTAGTTGACATTATCCTGTGTGACATCTCCTTGATGCATCTACTCACCACTGGGATCAGCACAGGCTGAACCAGATGATGGGTTACACCAATCTGAATTGATGTGGTATGAATTATTCATTGCTCTCTGAAACAAGGCTCATGTGTTTGATTACTAACCTGTCTCACCACACAGACTGCTTTACTGCTGTCCTAATACCTAATGTGCTGGAAATGGCAGCTTCTCAACTTCCTTGCTGATGAGAAGCCCCTGAAAGCTACTGCATCTCATCTCAGGGAGCATCCCCAACATCTACACTTCAATCCAGAGGCACTGCTGGTCCAGGACATCGCCAAGATTCCCAAGCTCATGGCCTACAAGAAGCCCTCCCTCATCAAGAGGTGGAACCTGAAGTGGGTCCACATTGCTCCTTAAATGCATCAACTGAGTATGTATTTTGTTCATCTGACTTGGTGGCTACATGCTCTTGTGGCAGAGCCCCAGTTCTGCCACGCCTCAGGGTGTGGCTATGTTGCCCACCAAGAGCAATATGAGGGAAATGGGATTTTCCCTGGATTTACCACTGGAGATAACTCTCCTATATTATACGTTACCAAGGGGTTAATAAAGGACTTCTTCTGACATCACTGGGACAGGACCTCCCTGAGGCCCATCTACCTGAGACCCAACTGGTCCAGTTCCCCTACTCCCCTACATTTGGCAATGATGGCAGGATTGTCTTCATATTAGATCCAATCCATTGAATCAAGTATGATGAGCTTGACCTTGTCCACCAGTTTGACCTTGACTACCAAGACAACCAAGTTGTCAGTGCCAAAGTCTTCTTTGTCACTGTCCAGGGTAGCATCAACATGTCCCACAACTCTGCCACTGGCCTGGGAAAAGCCTGACCAAGCTCTGAACCATGATGGCCTGGTTACTAGATACTGTAACTGCCATTGACCAGAGAGTATGCTCTGTTGAAGGAGGTTTGGAGAAGAGCCTTTTTCCAATAAACAACAGAGACAAAGCCCCCAAGACACCCTTTAAACCATCAGGTACACACATGTATGACCAGCTAACTTGGATCTGACAAGAGAAGTTGGAGTCAGTCACAATCTACTGGTTGTGATTTGAGGAGAAGCTGTGGGTAATGATGCTAGATGCACTGGCAACGCTCCAAGTGATTATGATGGTATTTTAATCTGCCATTTCTCAAGATGCTCCCAACTTTGTCTTGCTATTCTTAAATTAAAACCATTTTTGTGTTGTCAAAACTATTTTTATGAGGTTAAACTCACAAACAAAATCACTTTTCAAAATGACTGGACCTCTCATTTCAAATGACCACAAGTTCAATGTTGATGAGAAGGACAAGCCCAGGCTGTCTGAACTCCTTGAGTGGAACAAGGACATGTTCTGGAGATGGAGATTGATTCTGCATTGACTACTGTGAGCTCAACAAGAAGACAAAGTGAGACTTGTATCTGATGCTGGACACAAACAAGTGTCTTGAGGGCCTGGGGAAGGCCTGATTCTGGTTGAAGATGGATTTCTGCAGTGGGTTCTGGCAGATCCCTCTCACACTGGAGGCTTCCAAGATAGCCATGTTTGTCATGAGATGAGGGCTCTATGAGCTGACAGTGATGCTGTTTGGGCTCACCAATGCACTGGCTACATTCCAGTGAGCATAGATGAGATGATGGGCTTGTCCAGGGGAGAGTGGTTGTGGGTACTTATGGATGATGTCCTTGTCTACAGCACCACTCTTGATAATCACCCTGAACACCTTGAGGAGACGTTTGGTGAATTTGGGAGCGTGGACTGTATGTCAAGCTCATGAAATGTGAGTTTGCCAGGGCCAAGATGGAGTATTGCCACATCATCAGCAATGATGGCATCCAGACTGACCTGAAGAAGATCAAGTTGGTGCATGAAGCAAGGCTGCCAAAGAACCAATGGGAGCTGCAGAGCTTCCTTGGGTTGGCCTCCTACTATAGGCATTTCATCAAGAGCTTCTCTCATGTAGTGAGTCCACTGTCCAAGCTCATGAGCAAGCAAGTCAAGTGGAAGTGGACAATTGAGGAAAAGAGTGTGTTCAATGAGCTCAAGGGGGCTCTTGTGAGTGCCCTGGTCCTCTGCTACCTGGACACTGAGAAGCTGTATTGACTCATGACACAACAACTGGCTCTACTTGACCAAGTTGTGATCAATGGAGTCAATGACTACTGGACCTACTGGCCAATGAAGAGCCAAGGGAAGTTGACAGAGGTGTCTGCACAGCTGCAATGGATTGTGCCATGAGGGCTATGAACTGAGCTGTTGGCGCTCTACCCCATTGGAAGGTGGGGACCACCAGAGACGATTGTGAGTGATCAAGGATGAGAATTCATGGCTGAGCTACACCAAGAGCTGGCCAGACGACTTGGCATCAAGAGAAGCTTCTCTACACTGGGTCACCTGCAGATGAACAAGTCCTTCTTTTGACATCACTAGGACAGGACCTCCCTGAGGCCCATCTACCTGAGACCCAACTGGTCCAGTTCCCCTACTCTCCTACACTCTTCTCACTGATTTCCTACCAACAATAGGTCATGTCTTCTATCAGCTTGTCCTCACTGCCTACACCTCCAGCACCAAAGTGCAAAGCGTTCTCAACTACACTCCACTTTGTGCTACTCCACTTTATGCCTGCTTCCATCTCAACTTCAGCTACCACATCAATGGAGCTTCTGTGCAACTGCATGAATCTGAGACCAACATCATCCCATCTGACATCATGTCCTGGATTTCAGCAGCCTGGACTGTGGTGCATCAACTCACCTCATCCAGTACCTCAACTTCTTCTCAACCTTCACCCTGCTCCTCCATCTCAACCTCCATGGCATCAGCTCCTAGCACCCCTGCACAGGTATTCAACCATGCCCTTTTTTCGTTGCTGTGGATAATGACACAAGTGCCACAAGAACAGGAGCAGGAGCTGGAGCAGGAGCAGGAGCAGGGAAGCCCTCACCACAACTCTGACATTGACCAATTGCCTGACCTTGGGTCACTTTCCCCTTTCCACTTTGGTTCTGATGTGGATAGGAGTGAATACTAAACTCTGTCTTTCCAATCTTTCCAACTTTTAAAATAAACTCCTACGAACCAAGTGTTCATGAAAAAGGGTCAGTGACTCATTTTTTTAAGGTCAAAATGCACTTTTCTGTACAGAAAACTGTGCAAAAGTGCCATATTTGTGTTGTCACATTTCCACTTTCCTGTTCCTGTGTGTCAGATTAGTATGACTGATTTTTTCTACAACACCTCAGTATTCCCAGACATCACATTTCACAAGACCATCTGATTTGCACAAAAAACACAGCTCTTGATTTGTACGTTTCCAACTCAACCATTTCTCTTTCTGCAGGATCTGCACAAAGCTGAAAAGTGGCCCTCTCCACCTCTTCTGGCCTTGCAACCTATGAGTATGATGTTCATGACAAAGATTTGGTACCATGTCTGTCCCCACTGGAGTGTTACTCTTGTTTCCTTCTAAAGTTGCCTTTATTCATAAATCAGGATGAGCTGCTTGCAGAGGAACAACATGAAGAGGAAAAGAAGGTGGAGATGCTCTGGCCAGCCTTCCACATAAATGCACAAGAAGACCAGAGATGCCAGAGTGGATATAATATGTGAAATGGCAATCCAATGCACATCAGATTGAGACATGCACATACAATCTGTCTAAAAAATCCCAAAAACATCAAAACCATAACAAATTGTAACTTGAAAAATGGACAGCCCAACAATCCAACATGCATTGGATGCCCAGTATGCACATACTTCATGTTGAGGGCAATGCAGATGACAGATATATAATGTGAATTAAAATTATAAATATTTTGTGCAGAGTTCTTATCCAATGTGCATCAGATGCACATTGTGCACACTGAACTTGGAACATTTCTGATATTACTTACACAAAGTGTGCAATAAAATGATCCTAAATTGTGCAAATTGCACATCTGATGTGTAAAAAATGTATGAATAAAGCAAGAACATACCAAGTTTGGCAAAGGTAAGGTTGAGGAAGTAGCTGGCCTGTTATAGTGCCACTGCAGCTTTGCCTGTGTGCCAAGTCAACAGCAGAGGCACAGGCCTATCATGCACACAGGGCAGCCCACCTCAACCTTGCTGCATCTGAGAGGCTGGCTTACAAGTGTCAGACGCAGCTGGCTAAGTCATGCCCAAGTGACTACATGAGTCTCATATTTGAAATCCCATCCCCCTGCCTTGCCATCATCCCCTTCCCAAGAGTTGGATGCATTTCACTCACCACTACATGATGTGCTTGGGTGGTCTCATTGATCATTCACCTGTTTCAAGGCAACCTCCTTGTTGTGGCACATTGACTGGTATGTTCTATGTTGAGTAGGTTACTGTCAACCAAGTGTTCATGAAAAAGGGTCAGTGACTCTTTTTCCTTAGCTGATGCAAAAGATGTACAGATTATTGACAATGAAGTGTACACTTGCAAAAGATGCTGAGAGAGAAGACTGCTAGAGTCGGGCATATATTTCTTTGAGAGTGTCCTTCATGGGATCAAAATGGAAGCCACAGGCAAGGACTGTTGTGGGCAACTGATCCAGATGAGCCATGGTCCTGCCAATAATCCCTATGCCAACCATTCTGGGGAACCATTCTGGGGAAGTGGGGTATGAGTGGTGTGGGCATAATGCTGGCAAGGCAAGAGAAGAGATGCATACTTTTGGCAGGTGCCCTGTAGTAGTAGACTTTGTAGTGGTGGAGCACAACCTTCATCTCCTCTGTGGTCAGATTCTGGAAGGCCAATGTAGTGAGGTTGTCAAGCAAGATGAAGTATTGACCTGAGCTGACAGATGAGACTAACAAAACACAAGGTAAATGTGAGACAGGGTCTGGAGAAAGTGAAAAGAGACCAAGAAGCTAGGTCCCACAGCTGTAGAGGGCATTCAATCCTTGCTTGTAGTAGTTGTACGCTTTGAGGGTGACAGTGCCAGTGGAGTAGATGTGGTTCTTGAACCCAGAGATGTGGTTGAGGATGATACAGTTAAGCTGCATGTTGCTGACCATTGGAGGCACTTTGTAGACATTGTCCCAGGTCCAGTACTCCAGGAGAGACCAAATGATGACTCTGTGGTTGCAGTCAATGGCCTCTGCAGAGGTATAATGATGAGCTGATGGAAGTGTGACAATTTGATGGGGACAAGTACCAAACTCATTCTCATTTTACCTATCCATTCTCTCCTCCTCTCCCAGCAATTGAACAATGAATGTCTTGGTGGTGAGGAAGCCACCATCCACAATGGAGTGCAGAAGGTGACAAATGCCTGTAAGGGTCACACTGTGGTGTCACTCTGTTGGAAAGATGGCCAATTAGATCAACAGCCCAAATACAACTTCCATCAGTAGTTTTATTTGTGAACAACCTCCAATGCACATCAGACTTTTTATTTGTCAACAACTTCCAATGTGCATCAGGCTTTTTATTTGTCAACAACCTCCAATGCACATTGGAGTTTTTATTGGTATACAACTTGTTGACTTGATGAACACTAAACTGAAACAGAGATGGACATACCAAGGTCAGCATCAGACAGTGCCAGTTTGTTTGTAGTCACAGACCTCTGGCTCCTTGTGTGGCCTCACCTTCATCTCATCCTCAATCAGGTTTATCATATGCCACTGCCATTTGGCCCTTGGCGCCTCTTCCTCCTCCTGTTCAGGAACAACTTGCATTTACTCCTCCTCCTCCACCTCTTCATCCTCACTCTTAATCTTACACTTTCCCTTCCACTTGTAAGGCAGGTTGGCATCCACACCAGCTGCCTCCTCAGCCTTGGGCTTCTCCTCCTCCATACTCTCCTTGCTCCTCTCCTCCTTGCTCCTCCTAGACCTGACTCCATGGTCTGTCTGATGAGAGGGAGCTCTGTTTTGTGGGTGTGCAGGCCACCAAGCTCAACCCCCACCCCAGGTGCAAGATTGTAGCCATTATCATCATCATGCAGCTAGCACAGCACAGCCTACCAGTGGCAAGTTGATGGACTTGGCTGCTGTAGCTGTGCTGGTCTTCATTTGTTGGTGTGTGATGTTGCACAGCTCTGATGTGGTGCAGAGCTGAATGGCCTGCTCTTGAGGACCTTCAGCGCTTGTTCATCAGTTTTGTATTTTTGCAGTAGTTTACAGAGATCTCTGAGTGTTGAGGGCAAGCACAGCACATCTGTAAAGAGATGAGAAGCATCTGGACAGAGGCTTCAGGCACTATGCACAGCAGCTTCAGTCCTCAACCCAAAAGACTTGCCCTCACTACCCTCACTCCTTGAGTGCCTGATTGGTGATCTCCCTCAACATTTGCTGGTGGTTGGAAGTGGCTCCTTGTGTGTACAACAACACAACTTTGCCACTTTTCTGTGCATCTTACTTGCTCACACTGCATGCTCACATCTGCCTTTGCCCCACTTGGTCATCAGCACAGCCCAAACCAAATAATGCATTGGAGGAGTTTAAAGCCTGCAAGCAGAGCACTTGCCAAGGTGTGAGTTCTTAGGCAACTTCACATAGGCAAAGTGGGAAGCAATGTGTTTGAGCATAGCAGAATAGGTGAGCACAGGAACAGTCAAGGGATGAGCATTGGCACACATAGAGTGCACTTCTCACCAAGTCAAAGAAATAGGTAAGTGGATGGTGGCATCAGGAAGGCAATCCCCAATAACATAAAAGAAAGTGGTTAGCCATAAGTGGGTATTGGAGGTGGCATTTGAGGGATGTTGCTATCCAGTGGTGTTGTGTATTGGGACACGCCCACCAGAAATGAAAATCTGTTTAGCAGAACGCCACTTCTTCCTGCTGAAACCATGCGCCTTGTAGAGCAGCAATGTGAGGTGGGATAACAAATGTAAGGCTGCAATAAAAAGGGTTGGCACCTTTTGGAAAGCATTCAAACACACTGGAGAACCATTGAGTTGCAACTTGAAGTGGCACTCAGGTAGTGTTGAGACACAGCTGGCTGACATGATGTTGATGATGTAGGTGGTGCAATTGCATTCATTGAGATCTGCAAAGGGTTGTGTGATGTTGAGAATGTAAGCAAAGGAGAAGCTATCAAGGCATTTCTTGTGACAACAGAATGATGCAAGAACAGTACAAGCAGGCGATGCTTTTTGGGGATTTGCTCTTCAGCAGTTGGCAGTTCAGAGAACTTTATTCCTTGGAGTATGAGCTGTGGCTTGTAAGGACTGGCTGAAGATTGGGGATAGTAGGGTAGAGGCGAGGACCTCAGTGTTGGTGGGGAGAGAGTGGCTCATTGTGGTGGAGAAAAAACCCAATGCCATTGGGGAACAGGACAACAAAATAAAACTGATGCACATTAGGAAAAGAGTCAACAAATAAAAAAACCCAATGCACATCAGGAAGCAAGTCAACAAATAAAAAACCCAATGCACATCAGGAAGATCTCAAAGCTCTCCAGACCACATGAAATTTCGCCACCTGTTTCCTGTCCCTCCAATTAGAATTTAATGCAGACAGCTTTTTTGTAGACCTTCACTACCTATAAAATGTCAAAAAACCTGTTTTGATCATTTTGTTGTACCACCCACATTCAACACACACTTCCTTTCAATGTCTTCTCACCAAGCTGCCTCCAGCCTTCCCAACTTCTCAGCCATGTCAGCCACTGAGCTTCTAGCAAGCTCCTGTAATGCCCTAGCAAAGGTGCACCAGCAACCCAACACCAAGGTTATCACCAAGGCATACATTGACAGGTTGCTGCAGGCGCAGGGCCAAGACACTGGCCACATGAAGCAGCAGTCTCTCAAACTGCTAATGCAGTGTACACCAACAATAGCAGAGGAGGGAGTGAAAGAGCTGATGGATGTGGAAGAGGAGGAGGAGGAGATGAAGGAAAAGGAGGTAGAGGAGGAGGAAGAGCAGGAGAAGGAGCTGGAGGAGGAGGAGGAGGAGAAGCAGGGGGAGGAGTAGAAGGAGAAGGAGAAGGGGGTGGAGCTGGAGGAGGAGATAGTGGAGGAGGAGAAAAAGGAGGAGAAGGGAGAGGAAGTGCTGGAGGAGGAGTGGGAGGAGGAGTTGGAGGTGGAGGAGGAGCTGGAGGAGGAGCACCAAGTGCTGCCAAGGAAGTGCAAGCTGGTAGAGGAAGAGTGCAAGGAGAGGAAATGCACATGCCCAGTGGTGATTGATGTGGACAAGGAGATGGAGGTGGAGGAGATCAAGACCAAGCCTCACAAGCAGCTGGTGGTGTGCCAGTACTCTGAAGGCAACACTGAAGACCAATGCAAGGAGGCTGCCAGACTACTTGCCCTGCCCAACCTGGAGCTAGGTATGTACACTTTGTGTGTTTTTACTGTTCACCACACTGACAAGTTCCAAACTGATGTGCATTGGTTTTTTTTTGTTGACTCTTATCCCAATGTGCATCAGGTTTTTTATTTGTTGACTCTTTTCCCAATGTGCATTGGTTTTTTTGGGTACTCTCTTTTAACCTTCCAGAGGCTGTCAATTGTAACCACAGAGTTGTGGTCTGGAACCTCATTGAGCACTGGCAGTGGGAGAATGACTACAAAGTTCTGCCAGCAGCTGCAGGGATGGAACTAAGCTGGATCATCTCTTAACTCTTAACTCTTCACCTTTGTTTTGAGTCCTTGCTAACTGTTCCCCTTTTCCAGTCTTATCAAGGAACTCAATTGCCTTGTTCCAGAGGGTCAGGTGTTCATCTCCCTTGACAACCTCAACTCTGGTGCCTTCAGGGAATTGAGTGCCAACGACGTGATCACTGTGCTTCGCCATTATAAGTGCTATCAACACCAAGCCCCTTCCAAGAGTATGTCCTTTCTTTTTAGTAATTGCCCCTCTCACACCCAAGACCAGCTCCTCCTCCTCTTCTGGTCCATGGAAAGTGCAGAAGTCCATTGGCTAATGTTTCCCTCCACTCTGTTCTGTTCCTCATTCCAACAAAATACATTAGCCCTTTTTTACACTTATGCCTTGAAATTCTTCATTGCCCCCATCCACTTTTACCATGACCTACACCATTTTTCCCTGTTTTGCCACTCTCTGTACATATTTTGCCAAAACCACTCACACACCATGTTCACAAAAGTACTGCTTTCGCTGCACATACACATATATCACTTGTACAGATTTTACTTAACAAAAGGTGCCACTGGCACCTTTTTCTGGACACAGTGTTCAAAGTGGGTCCACATTGCTCCTCAAGTGCATCAACTGAGTATGTATTTTGTTCATGTAACTTGGTGGCACATCTTTTCCTCACTGCCTACACCTCAAGCACCAAAGCACAAAGCATTCTCAACTACACTCCACGTTGTGCTACTCCACTTCATGCCTGCTTCCATCTCAACTTCAGCTACCACATCAATGGAGCTTCTGCACAACCAAACAAAACCAACATCATCACAAGTGCTATCAACAGCATCCTCATTCACTCCAACCCATCCAACATTGCATCCTGGATTACAGCAGCCCAGACTATGGCGCATCAACTCACCTCATCCAGTACCTCAACTTCTTCTTGACCTTCACCCTGCTCTTCCATGGCATCAGCTCCTAGCACCCCTACACAGGTTTTCATTCACCCATGCCCTTTTTTTGTCATGTATGCATATGTGATGAAATATATCAATGACTCTGCTCTGGGCCAGAGAGGCCCCAGAGCACCTTGGTGCCAAGTTCCTCCCCTCCCCCAATATGTTCACTGGGACCATGAACATGAACAACAGAATAAAAAGACATTGATGATGAGGCACCCACCAAGACATTAGCCAAGCACCATCACACAACTGGCAAAGTCACCAATTACCTTTCCCCAATGGCTGCTCCCAAACACACCTCCCATCACAACTTACACAAACCACATCAGGAGCACCTTTCACTATCCCTCCTCAGCAATTTCCACCTGAAGTGCTTACTGAGTTGGCTGACAACTGCTGTGCTCCACTGTTCCTTGAGTCTGAGCTTAGTGAGTGGGCTGATATCTTTGAAGCACATGAGGCTCTTGTTTCAAGCTCCCAACCCACCTGCGATAACTTGATTTTTGATGGACTCACTGCTCACCCCATCACTAATCCTCTCCTTGATGGTCCATTGTTCTGTCTCCAAACCAGGGTCAAGGTTGTCCACACACAGATTGTGAAGATAGAGGGGAGTGATTGGCATGGGTTCTTGGATTTGGCATACAAATTCTCAAGGTAGGCAGCACTCTTGGGCCAACTGTCAATGTTGAGGAACTTCTTCATGATGCTGGTATAGTTGTGCAGATTTTCTTGTAGCTTCCTCTGTTCTGCCTTGTTGAGCTTCTGAGCCTCAGGCTGCATGAAATAGTGGAGTTACTAAGTGTTTGGAAGTATGTAATTTTCTGTTGCATAAGTGTACATGATGAAATGTACCATTGAGCTGATGAGCTTCTTCCAGTCAATGGCTAACTCACCTTGTGGTCCAGAACTTGTCAGTGTGTAGGGTGTCACAGTACTGGAAGAAGTCCTCCCACTCATCCTTGTGAACTGCAGCCTCATCATGCATGTGGTTCTGGCCCCACACAAGGATGTGAATGTCATCTTCCAAGACCTTGTTCTGGAAATGGAGAAAGGGTATTAGTCAGAGCAGGGACATCATCAAAGTACATCAGAAAAAGAAAAATGTACATCAACAATGTCATCTTCTGAGACCTTGTTCTGGAAATGGAGAAAGGGTATTAGTTGGAGCAGGGACATCATCAAAGTATGTTGGAAAAAGAAAAACGTACATCAACAATGTCACAACACCACTTGAAAGACTTCCCAGGGAATTAGCAGACACTCCATCATCAGAACACCCATCTTGTTCATCAACATTAAGAGAACTCTGCGTCCTCTAGTGGTCACCAACCAATGAGTGCTGCTCTTCATCATTCAGTCAATGTTGATCATTGCAGTGTTCATCTTCATGTGCTCCACACAGAGGACACCATAACACTTGAGCAGGGCCTCCTCCAGAGGCATGGAGAGCTCCTCTTCTGTGGGCTAGGAGGAGATGAATTAGCAAACATTCTATTGTGTACATGTATGTGATAGAATGTCCTGCAATTGTGGTCCATAATTGGCTTCACAAACAGCATGAAAAGCATACCTCCGTCAGGAGCTTCAACAGCTCCTCATCAGTCACCATGGCAGTTGGCAGGGTTACTTGCTCCTCTCTGCGCCCTCAACACCAACTCACCAATAGTGACAATGATGAAGTGCTGCTCCAGATCCTCACCTCAAGCACCTCCCTACCCCTGACTCAAGGTCTGAACTGGTGCCTTTTGTCGACGGAAAACTTGACGCAAAAATTAATAGAAAAAATTCATCAATTTTCCGCAGCCAGATTATAATTTTTGCGGCAAGGAGTGGCAAGAGCCAAGCGTAGGCGAGGAGGGATGAACAAAGGCAACAAGAAGGAGAAGCTGCCCAAGGCATGGAAAAAGCTGAAGCCCTTCTTTGACGAAAAAAAGACGCCCCGCGCCGCTTGCGCGCCATCTCCACCTTCCTCACGGGTATGCACCTCCTCTAAACTGTTCCGCCCTATCTGTTGCCCTCCATCTCCATCTCCACCTCCATCATATGATGCCTCCCAG